CGACACCTACCCAACACCGGGAATCATGAGCAACACAAGTGCCGTTGCAGTGATCATCCAAGCAATGTCGCCGGTCTGGCAATTCGAGAATCAGAGGTGTGGTCTTGGTGATTGGTTCACGAAGAATTATTGACTGACCTCATACCAAATATTCAAATCCTCCGTAAGGGAGTCACCGCCCGTTGCGCCCGTTCCATTGTAGGGGACCTTGACGATATAGTCAAGCGCGTCGAGGTCGACGCCGTCTATCACGGTCATAGCGGGCAGCTGTTCCCGTGTCACGGGTAAATACTAGTCAACCAAAGCCGCGAGTCTCAACCTTTGAGGTTGAACACCCGAGTTCGTCGAGTCTGTCCTTTCAAAGTCGGAACAGACTGTTGAAGTAAGTCAACAACGTTGCCTCTCGTGAGAGTTGCGGAGGAGAGGGACGAGGTTGAAGAGAACAAAGCTCGGATGGCACGCGAGGCAATAGAAGGATGGGTGGGATGGCAAGAGAGATTAAGCTAAGAAAGAATAATGGGGAACGGGGCTGCCACCACCAACAGCTTCCAAGTGACAAGGGCCAGCAATTCCGAGCCACTGATGCAGGCTCGTTCTGGGGTTCTGGAAGAAGCAATGCTCGGTGGCCAATCAGGGGGGTATTCGGGAGACTTCCTTATCGATTGAGGCAGCCACTGATGAAAAGTATACACTTGCAACCATGCGAAACAAATGAAAAAGCAACGTGAATTGAAAAGCGTTGACCGACGTTTTGAAAGCGGACCGCGGCTCTTGTTGTCGGCTCCGTGGAACTCGGGATATGGACTTCAGTAAACGAAAGACGAAGAATTCCACTCTAGGACAGTCGTTCGCTGCCTTCCGACATCACACGATGAGCATCCGCTGTGCCTTTATCAAAAGGAGGATCTGACTGTGCGATGAAATTGGCCCGTAAGCAGAGGCCCCAGTCAGGGCAAAATATTGAGTGCAACCCTCGAGGTACCGGCTTCACACCAATGCATGGACCGCACGACCCCTGGACACACGACGGGGATCCTCCCAGATCCACCAAGTGGCCCTAGTTGACCCTACAGGTTTCCCTTCGTTGAACATGGTTGGCGATGAGACTGTTTCCTTTTGATGGCGATCTGCCGCTGCTGATATCCGATCTCTTGGAAGTCTCAAGCCCTCACCGACTTTGTTACGATTGACTTGTCTCTGGCCGTAACAGCCAGCTCAATTCTTTCCTACATTACACATACACACACACACGGACGGGAACAACCTGGGAGTCTGAGAGACAGACCATTGTAAGCACCTAGGAGGGACCGCTAAAATGGCTGTTAAGAACCGGGACTAGGGGACTGGTGTACGGTGTAGGCAGTGAGGAGGGCGAGATAGCCGGAGCAGCACGGCGAGCAGGAGACTAAGTTGATGGTGTAAAGATAAGCAGGATCACTGCCTATTGGTCGGACCGGCCCTGGTCGTCCGTTTAGGGGACGTTGCGGTGGGGGTTTGTCTTGGCCGTTTGCTCGCTTCGTTTATGCCTATCTAACCTCTTCTGTCTAGCTACCCGTCCCAAGGCCCAGGTCCTCCCTTGCGAGTCTCTTCAGCTTGGCAGCCTTGGGACTCTCCTCCCCACCATCTTCATCATCCCACTTCACATGACTTAATGCGATACACGTACAATACACTCCATGCTCGCACTCAAGGCGAGGCCTCGCTTTCTGCATACCCTGGTATTCTAGTGCTGCGGTGACTACGCTGCTAGGTCTGTACCTGAGCCTATCCTCCCGGCTGGGAGCATGATCTCCTGGCTCTTGCACCCAGAGAGTGGTTCGCCCCGACTTGATTGCGCAGCATGCAAGATGCAAGAACCACGACTCCTGGCACACTCACTGGTTCCCAGTTGACGAGCGGTCTGCAGATGTTGGAGCCGGGAGACGGCACGTTTCTGACTGTCTGTCACATCTGGACACACTCTAACACATCCCGACCTGGCGTCATCCACAGGCAAAAGCAAGCTTCTGGCTCTCTGTAGGCGTTTCAGCCTCCTGCTCTTTTGGCACCTCTCCGCCCCCAGGAGACGAGCATTTTCATGCATTTCGCTCCATGATTGGCGCATTCTATCTGCTTCCCCAGGCTTGGTGTTACTACTCCAATTACAGGCATGTTATAGATCCGCTCACAGGAACAGCAATTCTCAGGGGTGAGAAGAGTCGATTGCAGAACCCAGTCAGTCTCGTACAACAGAGTAGATCGTCACTGGGGGGGTTTTGCTACTCTATCGTGATTGCATTTAGCCCCATTCCAACGATCTCAGATCGTCCAGTGGATCATATCTGGGCATTTATGCCATCCTATTACATACTTCTAGGCAATGTTCTGGAAGATGAGATGTATACTATCTTCAGCGGACCCTCCGAGGCAAACAAGATTATGTGGAGATCAGGTCATTATCCACGTTGCCCTCGATCCAACTCTGCACGGTCTCGAGGGACCATGTTCCCATTCTGAGGCCGTCCTCCGCCAGGTGGCGTTTTTCTATTCCGCGTTCCTGATAGGAACTATAGCCATTAATACGACGGTAGAGGAAGGTGGGAAGGGCGTTGCACGTTGCTCAGGGCTCGCGTGGTGGCTCCGCCCGTTTTGGTGACCATTCCTGCATGCTGCATCATTTCCCTCAAGCCACACGGCATGGCGCCGCTGCCTTTTTTCTTCTCCCAGGCACTACAACCCTTAGACTGGCTCACTTACACCAAACCCGGACTTGGGGTAACACCCGTCCGCCAATTTTGCTCTCGCTCATGCAGGGGCAAAATAGCTTAGATTGTCATGCTGCTGATGTTGCTTGCTGCTGCTACTCTAGCGAAACTCTAGCTATGAATAAGCATTTGCTGTCTATTTTTCCTTATCGCTGGCCCACTTGTTCAATACGGTCCTCGAGTACATCCTCGGCTCTTGGGACAGCTGCGACCAGGTTGCTCGCCCTGAGAATCTGGGACTCCGGCTCCCTCAGCGCTGACCAGCATCCGCGGAATAACTTACGTTGTGCTGGCCTAGGAGTCATTCTTGGTGTCGTGAGAAGAGCCTCTTGTGAATACTCACGTCTTTGCAGATTATCTGGTCCGCATCGAGTCATTGACTTCCAACATCTCATCAAGTCTACATATCCAGCTGGCACTGGCTTGATTCTCTCCACGCCGGGTAGTCTTCCAGACTCGTCATCTTCAACCAGGTAGTTGGCATCATCCAAGTGGGGACCCCTTCCGCCTCGTTCGTTCACCCCCCAAACTCCACCCACAGCTGAACACTAGAAGAGACCCAGCTGCTGTCAGTCACCTTCTAGTCTCCCTTGGCTATGAAGATCGGCTCTGATCGTTGCCTGTTCCAGAACCGCCCCCAGGCTTCGAGAAGGGACGCAAGGTTATCAATGAGCAGCAGACTTGCAGAGACGATCCTCACGCTGTGCGTGGCCATCAGCCTCTCCAGGAACCAACGACGCGCTATAGGTCGGGCTCGCCGCGCTCTAGACTAGCGAATATTGCGTCGTGTTGGGGGGGTGGGGGATGTCAAAGTCACGCATCGGCAACCTTTGCCGGCGACCCTCCTTGTTGGCGATCCCTCCCTTGTATCATCATCTATGGCGTTTGCGTTTGCTTGTCAACTAGTGTTGGCGGCATGAGATGAGCTCATGTCGAAGATATGCATGCATTCTTCTCTAGAACTAGCTCGTTGGAGAATCACCATCTCGAATTCCCGCGCCAGTCACCGTGGGAATGGTATCTTCATCGACGAAGAGGCTTATTACTAAGGAGACTATTGAATTGCTGTGTATATGGGCCAATGTCCAGCACAATGTGTGAGTGTCTTGATCTCTAACATGATACGTCATGCACACTCAGCTTTCGATAGTTGGCATCCCCTTGCTAGTTTATAGACTTCACAGGTATTACGCTATTGAATCAAAGGAAAGAAACGGCTCTGGTGCTGGTCGAGAGAAGTCTCTCCTGAAATGGAACTCTCTCTGTCCGGCTCCAACGAGATTTCCAGTGTGTTGACCATGTCGCGGAAAGCATTCACGGGCTTGTGCCACAAAAGAGGCATTTTGGGAAATCCCACCTGGTATTACTAGCAAAAACAGGCCAGTACATGTCACCAACAATGCTTCCTTAGCGATGTGGCATATAGCAATCGGCGGAGTCTTGAGGCTACGGCCAATAAGTGACCCTGAGTAAGAGCTGTGCGGATCAACGGATGGTCGCGACCACTGTTCTAGTATTAGCAATGTCTTACTCTCCCCGAGATGGAAACATCTGGGCTGGTACCAGTGTGGTATGAGGTGCTTCAGATATGGTATTCTGGAAACGTGAAAAGCCAACATGTCACACCTGGAGCGTTGACTTCCTCTGGACGTGATCAAGGCAAGACAAACAAGCTGGGGTTATACCTGCTGATATCTGACTGTAGACCTTTCTGTGAATCTGATAAGCTCTACGATCAAGTATCACGCAGTGATTGATCCGCGTGAAACTAGTCGCCACATAGCACACAAGGTCCGAAATAAGTAGACACATCATTGATGATTCATGATTATCATTCTATAACCTATGATACAAGTTCGCCATCGATGGTAAATACTCCAAAGAGGCATATAAACCTAAAACCCTGGACCACCAAGCCGTGATATACCATGTTAAGTATTAGACAAAAGGCGGGCGATATATATAGAGGGATAATAATGGACAGAAAGGCGGGCTTTGTCAAGAAAGACATTAGACATAAGCCAATACGACACACATATCGGCCTGACGGGCACTCCTAAAACATTGAAACCCAAGTTCGACACAGTGTATATCTAAACGCCGGTCTCCAAGCCGTAAGGTGAATCCAGGTTGTGTTCTTTTCGCCGTTCCCAATGCATTGTCTGATGACGCCGAAGGTCCCTGACCAAATAAATGCATGATGATGATGATGATGATGTACAATTGCATTTCGTACAAACTCGACTTCCTCCTAGCGCATCCGCACGTGTTTGGTCAGCGACTTATTTGACCATAGTGTTGATACTGTTGAAGCGCTCCTCAAATGATTTCACTCTCTCCTGCTCAAGGAGTCGCTGCAATTTTCTGGTTTCGCGAACAGCATTCTCCCGCTCCTCTTGAAGAGTGAGCACCTCAATTTGGGCGGTATTCATCCGTCCGACAACTTCCTGCATCTCCGAGTCGGCGGCTGCAAGAGCGCTCTCTAGGTCTTGAACCCGAGCCTTCAGAGTCTCAACCTGGGCGAGCTCCTCCTTGTCAGACTCGCCAACCGGCATAGTGGTTGACCGTCTCGGGCTTGGACGGGGGCTCAGTCTCCTAGCTGAATTAGGGGACAGCAGAGGTGAAAGGGGCGACTTGGGAGGGAACAGTCGTGGTGAGCGAAGGCCACCGGACGCATCTCGTAAGCGCTGAAGCTGCGAGCTATGCGCATCCTTGAGGTCCCTCAGCTCATCTTCATGGCGGTTTACTCTCTCTTCAGCAGCTGTCTGCACGGCAACGACCTGCTCCTCGAGAGACCGCATCCGATCTTGCATCTTGGCGAGGCGCTCCTTGCTTACCCTCTGATCAGATTCACCCCTAGTGACGGCATCTGACAAACGAGTGCGCAGAGTAGCATTCGTTGCGAGCTGGTTCCGCACTTGTTGAGCAAGCTCCTCGACCCGGCGAGCAGATTCGCGGAGTTGATCTGCAAGATCCCGCTCGCTGGCGATGTGTGCAGCTTCCGACCCCTTAAGCGTCTCAAGCTCATCACGATACGAGGCAGCCTCCTGGCGAGCATCATCTCGCTCATGGATGGCAGTCGATAAGGACAGCTCAAGACGTTCCATGGCAAGCTTCGTCCTCTCGTCTTGGGATGCGCTCGTGCCTCCGACCTCGAGTGTCTTGATACGCTCAAGGGCCTCCCTATAAGATTCTTGAAGCTCCTTATAGGCTCTTTCTAACGAGGCAGATGTTACAGGAGCAGTCATCGAGTCGGAGCTCGAGCGTCCGCTCGAACGAGTGAAAGAATCGGGGATCAATATATCTTTCTCCTTCAATAGAGCTCGAAGGGATGCAATTTCCTCTTCAGCACGGTCGAGGTCAGACTTCAATCCTATGAGACCCTTCTCAACCAGCCATTTCTGCTCAATGGCTTCCTCAGCTCTTCGGCGCAGAACGTTGATTTCTTCGCGGAGATTGGACACATCTCGCTCATAGCCTGCCTTTTTGGGAGAGCTAGATAGGAGGCGGTCTCTTTCGACCTCAAGGACCTTGATCTTCTTCTCGTTCTCCCGATTCTGGAACTCTTGCCTCTCCAGGAGACTCTTTAAGGCATTATGCAACGCATCTCGCTGGGCCTCGACGTCCTTGAGACGCTCAGACAGAGCTTCCCTCGATTCAGTCTGACCATGCTTGACGGTATTAGACCTGCTGAGTCCAGTAGGAGGATGTTGGAGCTTGAAAGATTGACCAGTCACAGAGCTTGACCTTAGTCTGGTGATTGTGTCCTCTGTCGACCGTGCGCTGTTCATGGTGGTATTTTGCAACTTCAATGATTGGAGCTCTTGCTGCATTTTGGTTGTCTCATATGTCAACTTCTCATTTTCGGAAGCCTGTGCCTCGAGACCCTCAACGCGCGCTTTTAGTTGCGGAACTATCTCGTCACGGAGATTATCTCGCTCATTCGCTGCGTTTTGGAGTTCGCCTTTTAGGGCCGAGAGCAGGTCTTCAAAGTTATCCTTTACTTGTCGTTCCTCGGAAAGCCGGCGACGTAAATCTTCACATGTCTTTTCGAGTTCGCGTACTCTGGCGTCTGCATCTCTGCCCCGTAGTTGCGCAGTATCAATCTGGGATGCCTTCTCTCCCAGCTCCTTGATCTGTTGGTCCAAGACCTTACGCCTCGATCGCTCGTCCTGCAGCTTGTTGGTAAGCTCCAGGCGGATCTGTGCCTTCTCTTGTTCCGATCTTCTCTGAATCTGTGCAACCTCCTCCTTGGTTTGGTCATATTCGCTGAATTTTGCGGAGCTATATCCCGAGTCTGAGAAATAGTCGCTGGTTCGCTTCCCAGGAGCCTGAGGATTGTTGACTTCTGCTTGTAGTCTGTCGACTAGGTCTTCTAGGTCCATCTCACGCCGAATGGACGCAGCCAATTCGGCGCTGATGGCCTTCAGCTCGTCCTCCATCTCGTCGAGTTGGGCGGGCGGCGAAGGCGTCGTAGCCGGTGGTGTTGGTAGATATGCTTCAAGGTAGCCAAGGGCGGTTTCTTCACTTGCATTTGACTTTCCAGAAAAAGGTCCTTGAAGCGTGAACGAGGAGTCATCTGTCAAGACTGTAGGCTTCGGGGAGAATGGTGAGGGTAGTGGTGAGTAGGGTCTGTCCGAGAATTCCGACACAGACGGTGATGTTCCCCAGCCGAAAAATGTTCCCAGTTTTGAAGAGCCAGGTGATTTTGGTGGTGACTTAGGCAATGGCTTATTTAACACAGGACTGTTTGTGTCAAGTGAGTCGTAATTAGCTGTAGTTCGTACGTTGGAGTCGACTTGATTGAGACTAAGATGTGGTGGTGTAGCCTTCCGAACAAACAACGACATGATACCATTAGTATTAGTATTAGAATTAAGAGTACCGAGTGACTTGTCGTCTTCCGCTTCGTCGATCTGATCGAAGTAAGTGGCTAGAGGTGTGACGTTGGAGTCCGGCTCCTCATGCGGTGTCAGCGCGTCTGCTGCTGTTTGAAGAGCTGCAGGGTTGGCATCCGGGATGTTTCGAGACTCGAGTGATTCCGCGTTAACGGCAGGTTGGGCTACAACCAGGAAATCAGGCTGTGGCGAAGACGGGGAGTCGGTAGAGGATCTGCTTGTGAAAACATTGCTGTTAGTCGAGGTTCTGGCTTTACCCATAATGACCGTGTGTAATGAGGATATTGACTTACTCCGAACCGGCAGTGTCGACACTGGTTCTGACCAACGCGTCGAGAGACTCAACGGCGTCAGCAGCAGCAGCAGCAGCACGCTCCGGGAACTCGTACAGGGTGGGACTGTCCACTGAGAAAGATCTTGAAAAGCGCGTCTCGGGCTTGGGCAAGTCACTCGATATCATGAGATAGTCTCCGGACGAGTACTGGGTAGCCAATGGAGAAGCCGTGGCGCTCAACGGCTTCCGCTTGATAGGACGGTTCGTGAAGGCGGCCGGGCTGGTACTGGCGGCGGCGAGACTCTGAGAGCGGGCGTTCCTAGGACTAGACAACGAGCTTATCCTTGGCTGGAACTGCTGAAGAGACTGTGCTCGAGGACTAGGCTCAGCGGGCTCGGGTGAGTCTGGCGGTGGTGGTTGTGCTATGTCCTGCGGGAGGAGATCAGATGAAGCATAAGGCGTATCAGAATCCGCAGGGACGACGGGTACGGAGGGGAGGAAGAGGCCGGAGGGTGTCGTCCCCTCGGAGGGAGCGAGGGCGGCAGCCATTATTATCGATTTGAGCAATGATGGGCAGTGTGAGAGTGTCCTGCTTCTGCAATTGGCCTTATCGGCAATGGATGCTCATCTCGCCTTATTACGGTGTGATTGAGCGCTCTTGGAAGATACGAAGAGCTACGCCCGCATTGGAAGAAAGGGAAAATTGAATGGGATGGAATGTCTTCTTTCTCTGAGATGGGAGCGCAGGGTGCCATCGGGTCCAGCGACGAACCGCCGAGAAGGGGGTCCATTGGAGGGCCATGACAGGCATCTGCAGGCATTTGCCAGGACCCATTGGGCGGGTGGGCAGCGCGACGCCACGCCAGACGGCGGCCAAAGGCCAAAAGCAAGGGGCACGCGGTGGACTCGCTGGGGAGGTGGACATGGATGCTGACGGCGCTTCGCACACAAAGAGAAAGGCTCCAGGGCCGGCTGCTGGCTGAAAGAATGAGCTCTGGCCAGTGGGCGGGTTTTGCTCTGTCTAGGGCCCTCTACTGCGCAGTAGGACTCTCTAGCGAGCCTGCTTCTGGTGTAGTCGTGATTTCTTTGTTGACCGGGAAGGCTGCAGGAACAAGGGCCAAAGCTTACTACGTAGTAGACGGGCGTCGAAGCGCAGGGTTTGCCATTGGCTGATCTGCTCGTGAACTGCTCGTACCTTGCAGCCACACCGTTCCTGCCAGGGCCGCTTTTGGACATGCCAATCTTAATATTCTGCCAGAATCCCCGGCGTCCTTAAGAGCACTGCAACGCTGCCATTTAATGATTGAATGCATGCCAGAGGGGGCTCTGCCCTGTTGGCTGCGGGGGATCATCTACTCTAGGGATAATAGGCAATAGATATGTCTATCAATTTGGAGATTATCGATATGCAGAGTTGAAGAGCCCTTCCTTATCCGTAGAATGGTGAAGTGAAGGGCGCCAGGTGCGGTTGCTCTTATTGCTAGCCAATGATTCATTCTCTGGCTGCCCGGTGTACAGACTTACGCGCCCGATATTCGAATACTCAAATTATCGACTCTATTTTTTGCGCTCCAAGACCAGAGTTTGCGGCGGGTAGCCACAGCGTTGAGAACTCCGTAGTGGTAGGTATCTACTGCGTAGTATGATTCAGTAACGTCCACATTGCAAGAACAAGCGGTAGCATCGCTTAATTGTTCTCCCCACAGTGAATG